AAGCCAGGCCCCACAGTCATGGAATACAAAGGGGACCATTTGTCGTGCTTTCTTGGTGGAATGGTTGGCGTCGGAGCCAAGGTCTTCGGCCTGGAAGGAGATATGGACTTGGCTAAGCAATTGACTGATGGCTGTGTTTGGGCGTATCAATCTACCAAGAGTGGCATCATGCCCGAAGAATTCTCCCTCGTTCCATGCAAAAAAGGCCAGCCTTGTGAGTGGGACGAGTCGACTTATCACACTGCTTTGGATCCTGACATGCTGGAGCGTCTTGCCAAGGCGCAGGAGCGGAAAGAGCAGAAGGAGAAGGAGGAGGCAGCGGTTGCAATGCAGGCCGAGGCTGAGGTAGCTGACTTGAAGAAGAAGAAGACTCTGCTCGGGAAGCGCGAGCGCGGTAACTGGCATGTCATTGGTTTGGAAGACGAGGCCACACCGAAGAAGCCGGAACCCGAGCAGCCTCCTGAAGAGGAAGAAGAGAAGGTGCCCTCGCACGAGGAGTACGTGGCGACACGCATCAGTAATGAGCGCCTTCCTCCCGGGGTGACGAAGCTCATCAATCGCAAGTATTTGCTGCGACCTGAGGCTATCGAGTCGGTATTTATCATGTACCGTCTGACCGGCGACGAGTCGTGGCGGAAGAAGGGCTGGGAGATGTTCCAGGCCGTCTCGAAGTACACTCGAACCGAGTTCGCCAACTCAGCAATCGACGATGTCACTATCACAACTCCCGAGATGTTGGACGAAATGCAATCATTTTGGCTCGCGGAGACGCTGAAGTATTTCTACCTTCTTTTCAGTGATCCGACCGTCGTCAGTCTTGACGACTATGTACTGTAAGTCTTTCCCCTTGTTGTGAACCCACCAAGTGCCCTGGCTAACGGAAACTACAGGAATACCGAGGCGCATCCTTTGAGACGCCCGAACTAATAATGGCTTTGTATGCATGTGCATTTTGCGTTCGTCTTGCTTGATTCTTCCTTCTCCTCCATTCTTGCTCTTTGCTTCCCTCGATTGCTGCTTTTGCTTGTAAAAGTACAGATACCACGGTCCAGTCCACGAGTTGTTGATTGATGCATTCGCCCTCCCTATTTCTATGTTACCCCCCCTTCGTTTCTTGTGGGATGGGCTCCGTTGTTCCTTAGCTGGCTTTGGAAATAAGAGGTTCATATATGGTGAAGGGTGCTGATGCTGTCGCTATACTGCTGCTGCTGCTGTTGTTGTTGTGGATGATGATGTGTTGTATAGTCGTACTATTGTACCGGACTAAGTAGATAATGGAGTGGTAGACATGTGCTCTGTTTAAGTGAGGAACGGGGAATGATATAGGCCCTTTGCTGTTTCTACTGGCTGTAATGAAATCATCAGTGATAAGTTAATGAGTAGATAATGGATCGTACAGTACCAACGACGGGGCCATGAGACGAGACGCGGGGGCAAGCGAAGCGAAGGGAGAAGGACGGGAATGACGTCCCGCCCGCCCGCCTTCTCAATTGATTATTGACAGCGTTCCCTCTCCGCTCCAACTCCATCTCTTCTCCAACATCTCCTCTCCTCGACTCTACACCCACTCTCCTCTCCTCTCCTTTCCCTTCCACTTCTCTCCTTTTATCCACTCCTCTTCCGCTCACTCTTGCTCCCTTCCCTGGCTGGAGCAGCGCCTTATCCGACTCCCTCGCTGCGGGCGCAAGACGGGATGAGTGCAGGGACACGCCACGCCCGACGAGGACGACTGAGCTGTGGGAAATGGAGTTTGAGGTCACCCTGGAGAACGAGCAGCAATTCTGGGACGGTGAGCACTACCGTTCTGTTTCTTTTTTCTGTTGCCCGATCGTGCACAGAATATACTGCGAACCCCCAGCCCCTCTATTCGCTACTTCAATTAATTAATTCGGAACTAATTTTGTTGCGCGACCTTGTCCGCAGAAATCCAAGAAATCGTTTCCGCCCCTTGCTCCTCGGAAGATCATATCGACAATGCGCTTCGATCGTATCTGAGCCTGGCTACGAAGTATAAAGGTTTCTCTCCGACTATCGTTCCGAACGAACGGATGCAGTCCAGCTGACGCAGGACAACCGACAGATGAATACCTTCAGGGCGAGTTGGATGTTACCCGGTGCTTGTACAAGCTCCTGGCATCCAGTATCTTCGCATCGCATGCGGACTATGTTCGACGACAGATGATCTATTGTTTGTTGCAGGTACGCCGAGGGATTCCTCTACTGTCTGGGAGAGAGTGACGACGTCTGACATGGGCATAATTTTCCAGGATGACGACCCGGCTACACTTCATCTCATTGCCTTGCTCTTGCTTTTTGACGGTCGCCAGCATGAAGAGGCTTTTCGGATGATGAACGAGGAGGGTTCGTTTCCGCGGCTGCTGGAACTGCTGCAGGTCCGCAACCGCTCGGCGGATAAGAGCATGCCGGCGGGCCTGCATCGGCTTCTCATGGACTTGATGTACGAGATGTCGCGGATCCAGCGGGTGAAAATTGAGGATCTGGGTGGGTTTGCGCCGATTTCTTTTTTTTCAACAGGATTGTTGACCCTGTCGGTGCATGGCAGTTCTTGTGGACGATGATTTTGTCCGTGGTCTCTTCGACATTATCGAGGATCTCTCGTACGACGTCAACGACCCTTATCATTATCCAGTCATTCGCGTTCTGGTGAGTGTCGCGTCTAAGGTAGAAAGCAAATCGCTAATGAGTTTCTGGCAGCTGGTCCTGAACGAGCAATTCATGATCTCGGCGCACGACCCCGTTGACGAGCAATCACCCATGAATTTCCTGACCAACAAAGTCATCAAGGTCCTGTCCATGTATGGAAATTTGTACAAGACCTTTGGCGAGAACATAATCCTCCTAATCAATCGAGAAGGTACGTGGTGTTGGCTGTGGGGTGCGGACCAATGCTCTAACATGCTACAGGCGAAACGTCCCTCCAGCTCCTGACACTTAAGCTTCTATACCTTATCTTCACCACCCCGAGCACCTACGAATACTTCTACACGAACGACCTGCATGTCCTGGTAGACATTTTGATCCGAAACTTGCTGGACCTGCCGGAAGAGTCGTCCGCCCTTCGACACACCTACCTCCGTGTTCTTTATCCGTTGCTTGCTCACACGCAGCTGAGACTGCCGCCTTACTACAAACGCGACGACATCAAGCGGATGCTCAGTATCTTGGTCAATGGTCAACTCTTCCATAGCGATGCCGACCAAGAGAGAATCATGCATTTTAACGATGCAGATGAAACAACTACAAGACTGGTTCTCCGATGCGCAGCCGTTGACTGGATCCGTGAGGAAGAGCCGACGGAGGTTCGGAAGGCTGCCGGGCCACCCGTCAAAACCTCCGATGCCAATGACGACGAGTCGCCTGAGGGCGAGTTTGGTGCACCGCTGGAGTTGACCCAGACACTCTCCCCGACGAGCACCGTGGATAGTTCGTCGGAGAATCTTTCTCCAACCCGTGCCGATGATGAGGCTGGGACGGGTTCTGCTAAGCTGAATGCGCATCGTAAGCTCAGCCAGGCGCAGAGATTGGGGATGCACCTCGAGCCGGCCTCGTCATCGTCGCTTAGTGTGCAGGAGGTGGCATCGCAGCACGAGAAACCGGGCGTGATCACACCGAGCCGGAACAATACTCACTTGGACCGTCCTTTCAGTCCGTCGGCGAACAGGGTCAAAATCAAGCCGCTTCCGCCGAATCCTCGGCGCTGGAGAGGTCGTCCTAGGGCCGAAGACGATGAGCACGTGGACAGAATCCCGGAGGACCGGGAAATTCAGACTACGAGTCCGCTACCCCCGCCTGTCGCCAGTGGAGCGGGCGATCGGCGGAATTCCACCAGCACGTCAAGCTTAGCAGTGCCGATTCCTCGGGCCCCGCGTCGGTCCGCCTCCAACCCGCCGCCGGCGGTTCCTCCGCCGCGACGGTCGACCCATCCCGCTGTCCCCGGCATGGCCACTCTCTCGGTTTCCAGCCACTGCACACCACTCACCAGTCCCTCGCGAGTCGTTGCCCAGCTTCATAATAGTGTGAGCGCTCCAGGGAGTGGGAGCAGCTTGGTCAGTATGGTTTCCAATTCCAAACATGGACATAAACCCGAACCTCCCCGAGCCCGTCGCTCGGGGCGGGGAAGGCTCACTCCGGGGGGTTCCTCGCATCGACCGGAGTCACCTGCCGAGCATGACGGCTCGAGTCAGTTGAGCGGGGGCTATGCGTGCGATGAGCAGGACCAAGCTGTCGAGGCGCCCACATTTTTAGGGATCAAGTCAGGTGGTCCGGTCAGTGTTGAGGAGGCGGTGCAGAACATGTCTGTAGGGGAGTGACGATCTTTTTTTTTTGTTTGTTTGTTTTGTTTTTGCGAATCATCTTGCATTGGCATATCGGCGCGTTCCGAGGTTAATTTGTCTATGAGCTATTACATAGTGAGCTTTTCAGCATGTTGCACTTCACTTTTACCTTTGGGGTTTGGCCTGCTCAAGTTGGTGATGGTGATCGGATCAGCACCGACCATCTACTAGACTGGGGAGTAATAGTGAAGCTCAAGCACTGTCCTCTGCGGAACAGCAATCTGGCCCCGAAGCAACTTAGAACATAGGATTACTGCCCCATCTGTTGGAAGCCGAGTTCCACTGCGTCGTCAGCGGGATCCATTTGTTTGATGAGGTTGTATGGTACTGTACCGTATACTCCACCGGGCAGTGTGTGTATGTACGGTATTGGTATCTGCCGCGTAATATGTGTATGGACTGTACTGTACCCGCCGCATTACGGAGACAATTTGCAGAAAGAGGCACTTCTCTCACCTTTAAGCACAACAGACAGACGGTGAGTCCCTGCAGACTGATCGCGACTCCCAGAACCCAGAAAGAACCTTGAGATCGATATGATAGTACATACAAGTTCTCATTTCTCATAACGCCGGAAAACCGCCAGGCATAATCATAATCATACACACCCGGAGGGAACACCCAGAGGAAGCACCCAACCCTAACCACCAGGCAAGCACCCGAACCAGTATCATGAAACCCAGCATGATATCACCTTCCCCTTCCTTGCCTCGATTCCCCCATCCCCTCAGAATCAGTCTGAAGACAAACAGGGGGGTTTAATGCCCGAGAATGCCCCAGAACTTCTCCGCCCCAAAGGTATACCCATTATCCACCTTCCAGAGATCATCGAACGAGGAGAAGAGCACCAGCCCTACCTCATCCTGCTCCGCATTGCCATTGCCCGGCCCAGTGTTTGGGGAAGGATCGGCATCGGCATCGGCATCAGCACCAGCACCAGAAGAAGCACCAGGGACCGAGGAATCCCACGCAAAGGCCTCCCTCAAACTGCGCACCGCAGCGCGCTGATTCTCCAACGAGGGCACCGCCTTCCCATTCGCCTGGCCGGCATGCGGCCATCCGCTTTCCGTGATGACCACCTTTTTGTTGCGGTTCCCCTTGCTTCTCGCGTTAGCATCCCCCTTCTCCTTCTCCTCCTCGCCTTCAGAATCATCATCACCATCACCATCACCCCCAAACCCACCCATCATCTCCCGCAGCTTCCCCACCTGCTCCCGCACAAACCCCCCCGCCCCCTCCGCTTCGACGGCATCGTCAAAAAACGCATGGCAATTCGCCGCGCAGTAATCACTGACGGCACACAGCCCCGGGTTCGCCAGGTGCGCCGCCACCGTGTCCACGGCCACGACGGGGCCCTCGTACCCGGCGCCGCGGAGCGTCGCGCGCGCCGTCTGCACGGCGCCCACGATCTCGGCCGCCGTGTTCCGGCCGCTGTTGAGGAGCTCGTTGCCGACCGCGACGCTGTGGATACTGTCCCAGGACCCGCCGTTTTCCGTGGCCGCGGTGATGATCAGGGCGAGATCATCGGAGAAGTGGGTGAGGTCGACGAGGCCGGCGAAGACGCCGAGGTGGTATTGACGGGCGGCCGCAAGGACGAGGCGGGTCTGGTCGCAGTCGGTGCCGTAGATGCGGACGAAGGCGTACCCCGCTAGCTGGGACAGGTCGTGGGTGATTTGCGGGGCGGGTTTGCAGGTTCCTTCTGCGGTGTAGGGGGAGTAGGCGATGCCGTAGTTGTTGTCGGGGGTGGTTGACGAGGAGGAGGGAGGCGGGTTGGGCGCAGGAGCAGGATCAGGATCAGGGAGGGCCGAGTTGAGGCCGTGGACGACGGTGTTGCTGAGTTGGTTGGCGCTTTGGTCGAGCCAGGTTAGGGCTTCGGGGCCCAGATTTAGGGGGTTGGGGAGCCAGTTGTTGCTGCTGCTGCTGCTGGGTCGGGTGGGATGGGCCGGCACGGTGTTGCTGTTGAGCACCAGCAGCAACAATCCCAGCAGCCAGACTGGAGCACGAGACCTGCACTTCCACTGCATCCTGCACCTGTACCGGCAGCGTTGGTCCTCCGCCGCTGTCACTGGGGTGGCGGCCAGAAGATAAAAAGAAAAGAAGATGACTTGTAGATCAAGGCGGCCTTCTGAAACAGGGACCTCACCATCCAAGAATGAGCATTGCTCCGCTCCCTATGGAATGTACAGGATAACTCCTAGAGCGCCTCCTAGCTGAGCCCTTCACACTGACCGATCCCAGGAATGTCACAATGCTTCAACCCCCTGACACTCATTTTACAATCAACGCTCCCCCTGCCCGGTCCTGGATTGTCAAGCCACAATTGCGTACCCCTGGATCTCCCTATACTTGCATCATCTCTACCATGCCCGAATACCCCCGAGAGAAGAAGAAAAAGTGGTATTAAATAATATGGTCTCGGCTCTAACAATATCCACGGTACCAATGTAGCCAAAGAAGTCGGACAAACAAAGACGATCACCACGCAGTAAAAATGATGCGAGTCGACCGTCCATTAGGACATGTGCAGGATGCACCTGGGCATCTAGGTGCAATATGCTGTACAGGTACTGTGCTTTGACAGCGGGTTTATCAACAGGAACGAGAAAATGAGCCCGGGCGGAATATGATGATGAAAGGACAGGAGGGCGTATCATGGAGGCATTAAACGTCATGGCCAGGCCCCTACGACAGCCGAGCAACAGACAGAATCAACAGAAATTACTTCCGCTTGCTCAGCACTTTCGTGATCGCATGGCGGATTATTGTTCCCGCCTTCTCGATCTCTTTGCGCGTCAAGCCGATCGTCACACACACCTTAAGAGCGGGCGCCACAACCTGCTTCGGCTCGAAGTTGTCCTGGAGAGTCTTGAGGCGGCTGATAAGGACACCGTTGGCAAGACACTGGTAGCACCCAAAGTCAGCATCGTGGTCAGACGAAAAGACATAGACTACACCTACCTCATCAACGACATCCTGCAGCAAGAATTGTTGCTCGTCCTCAGAAAGCTTCTTCGCGTTGACCACCTCGGGCTTGAGAACCAGAATCATCATGGGATTCTCAGGGGCACTGGTGCAGTACACCCAATCGCTGCGAGGGTCCAGCTGCGCCCACATGGCCCTGGTGTGTTCCCGCAGCTGCGTCACCGTCTCGGGGCTGTTTTGCAGCATGTTGATCGTGGCACTGGCGGTGGTCGACAGCAAAGCCGGCAACGCGGCCGAGAACGTGTACGCCGCCGCGGAGATCCGCTGGTGGTGCACAATCTCCTCCGATCCCGCGCAGAAGCCTCCACCAGCAATCAACGGGCCGGCCAGCGATCCCACAATCATGTCGACTTCTGCCGCGTCAACGTTCTGATGCTCCGTCACACCACGACCGGTGCGTCCCAGAACACCAAACGACCAGGTCTCGTCGAGGATGAGGCGGAATTTGTACTTCAGTTTCAGCTCAATCTGCAGAAGAAAGCGTCATGTCAGTGAGCAAGAACCCCGGACAACCACGGCTCAGCCGAGAAAACACATACAACTTTAGGCAGGTCAACCATATCACCATACGACTCGAACAGACCCTCGGTGATGATGAACCGTCGGGTGAGAGGCTTTCGCGCCTGCTCCTTGGTCACCTTGGCCAGGACCCGTTCCAAATCCTCCATGTCATTGTGCTCGTACCACCGGACAATACTGCGCGAAATCTGGATACCCTTGCGGATCGCAAAGCTGACCCCCTTGTCGGCCACGATGATGTCCCCCCGCTTGGAGAAAGCCGGGATCACACTGGAGATGGTCGAGAAGGCCTGGGCGTAGATGATGCAGGATGCGGTGCCGAGGAACGAGGCGACGTCGGCCTCGGTCTTCATGTGCACGTCCTGGGTACCGTAGAAGCCTCGCGGACCACAGGGTCCGACCCCGTAGTTGCGGAGGGTCTGGATCGCCTTCTCCTTGAGAGACTCGTTCGTGTTGAAATTGTAGAAATTGTACGAGCCCAGGTTCATCACCGTCCGGCCGCTGGCGAGCTTGGATTTCGGGCCTACGGGGCTAGAGAGGGCCCGCGCGCGGTTCGCGTCAGCAGATGGGCCAGTGAACCAAACCCATTGAGGTCGGACAGTCGAGGACAGAGATCTTACCCGACGATGACAGTACGTTTGTCCACTTCCATGGCCTCCAGGGGAGTCGGCTTTCCGACCAGCGGCTCCGGAGTCCATTCGTCGACCAAATCATCAATCTCATCTTCCGAGAGTTGGACCACACCGGGCTTGGTCGAATACTTCGGCGCAAGAAGGTAGCGAACGGCGAACAGGAACAAGAAAAGCTCCACGGCCGAGCGGATTGGGTCGTTCTGGTAGCTGGACTTCACATAGCGGAGAAAGATCGCAGAGCCGGGGACCCGGTGGAACAAGGCAGCGAGCTCATGGAGATACTCCGTGAGAAGCCGCTGTGTCTCCTGGATATCCATGGTCTCGAGATTGGCGAGGCGCTCGTGGCGCTGAACGAAGACGCTGTCGGTGGGGAAATCCCAGAAACTGAAAGAAAGGCGACAACAGCAATCTACAGTTGAACTGATAGCATTCGAATCAATAGTGTGAGATCTGTAAAGGAGGAGCTTTTGTGAAAGTCGAATCAACGCGGCACTTCCCAACTTCCGGGCAACGCAGGCCGCCTGCACGTGACTTCGTCTGCTCCTTGCAGGCAGCCATCTGTATTTAACAGTCATGTGACATTGTTTCTGGACTCTCACTAAATCCAGACTCCATGCAATGCAACTTGGAAGCCCCCAGCTCAAAGGACCAGTGAAATCAGCAACTTTGACACATATTCTACAAGATACACATTTTACCCGATTCCTTGCCAGCTGGCATCTACGACTCACGAGATTTGCGTGACCTACGAGAAAAAGTTCCAAGAATACCAAAGATTAAATGAATGCTGGACAACAAAATGAAACTGGAAAGTCTAATGAACATACATAAAGGACTGGGAAACACCTCGAGAATACAGAATTCAATTGACAGATATTGGATCCATTAATGTTGACGACAGAAAGGAGCATGGGCGAAGAGTGTCATTCAAGAAGCAATGAGAGTAAAACAAAGGCAAATGTATGCGACTCGGCAGCGTCCTCAAGGCGCTGAATACTTTATACAGCTCGTTTCCATGTTCCATTTTCGCAAAAAATGAGAGAAGGTAGAGAAGAAGATAAGGTGAAAATCAACGTGCCAACTAGCTGGACGTGGCGGTGGCAGCCGGGTTGGTAGGAGTCCAGCCGGAGAACCCGATGGGGAGACCTTTACCAGTGTAACTGGCAATCGTGTCGTTGTTGTCCTTGTCGAGGGGCTGCATGATGTTCATGGGGAGACTCGAACCCAGGTTGATGTTCTGGTTGCGAGCCACGAGAGGGGCGATAATAAGGATAAGGAAGATAACCAGCATCGTGAAGTACAAGATGGCGAAACGAACGACTCTCCGCTTGCGAAGCTTGGACTGCTTCAGGGAATAGATGGGAGGACGGATCTGCCGACTCGGGCGCAGCCAGAAGAGAATGACCGAGTGGAACTTGTCAACGTAAGGCATGCAAAGAGCAGGCAACATGACAAACAGGAGAATGTGACCCAAGACAAAGTCGGCGGAGAAGTAACCCAATTCCGTGATCTTACACAGGAACTCACGACCAGGCTGGGAAAGAGTGTGCCAGCCCATGCTGTACCACTTACCCGTCCACCAGGCGATGTTGGACTGGTCATTCTTAAATTCTCTGGTGAGAGCGAGGGAGATGATGAGCTTGTAGATGAACCGTTGGATAGCAGCCATGGCAATCATGCCCATCACACATCTGGGCCAAGACCAAGACTCGAGGAAGAACATGACCTCAAAGATAGCCAGAAGGACAATCACGGCGATGGCGTGAGCAATGGCAGCCAAGACAGCACCGAACTTCTTGCAGCACATGCTGAAGATGGGACCCATACAACAAGCCATACCGAAGAACATACCCGCAACACCGGCGTTGATGGCAATTGGACCGAAGGCAACGATGGCGATACGAACAATGGCGTTGGAAGCATGCTTGTTGTCGTTCGAGATACCGGTTCTCGAGTTAATGTACAGGTATGGCACAAGGGTGACACCAACGACCACCAGAGGGGCGATGATTTCACTGAAAAAGATGTTCGAGATGCGAGCTCTTGGGACATCACCAGATCCCTTCTCCGAAGGAACACCCAGAAGCTTGCGCTTGTAACCAGTGATGCGGGTACGAGACAAGCGACAGAAGGCGATCCAGGAAGAAGCGTGCGAGCGAGAGTTACCACGAGACAACCAGCGGATGTAATCGCGGTAGTCGATGAAGAAATCATGCCAAGCGAACTGGTGAGGGTTGAACAAGAAGGGAGCGATGACCAGGGCCAACAGTGAAACCCAGAACCAGATCAGAGCGGCAGTCCAGACTGTGGAGGTCGCGAACAGCAGCATCAGCAGCTGACGAGAACCAGCGTAGATCGAGGGGCCAGCAAAACGCGAGTAGAGAACACCGAAGGGAATACGAGCCGTTGCGAAACCACGGCCAGTACCGATATAACGAGCACCACCGAAAGACAAGTTCTGGTGGACAGCATTGGCATAGATCTGACAGACAAACACCTCGAACATGAAAGAGAAGGAGCCAAAGTGCTTCGCAAGACGAGTCGCCATGCGCCACACACCTCTCTCGGTCAATTCTTGGACAGCCAGGGGAACGAAGGAGATGAAGAAGACGATGAAGATAGAAATAACACAGCGGTTGACCCAGTTGACGATAGGCGTCAAGTCAGCGCAGTACGTGGGTCGGAGAGGATCGGTGATCGGCAGGTCGGAGTTGAACTTGCAGGTAATGGTCTCATGTCTCAAGGCACCGAGGTTGACAAGAACGATCATGAACATCTGCACAGACAGCATAATGAACATGTTGTTGATGTGGAAACCAGGGTGAGCATAGTAGAAAGACAAGAAACGATCAAGAGGCAGCTGAGTTCCGAGGTAGTAGTATTCTCTGGACAGCATCTGCTCACCCATACCAGTACCAATCTTGGTTGTGAAGTTCAGAATGGAGCCGAAACCAAGATCACGACCCTTACCGCACTGGAAGTACTCGCAATGCTTGATGCGTCCACCACGGAGCAGAACCGTCATACCAGCGTAAATATCCTCGTTCAGGTGCAGACCTTTCTGAGCCTTGGAGATACCGCCACGAGTCGTCATGAAAATACCGTTCAGGAAATCAGGGTGACCGTAGTGCAGCTTTCCGCCGATCTGGGCAAGAGTACGTGCGAACAAAGTACCGAACGTTTGTTCCTTACTAGCAGCAACGTCACCAAGCACACCGACGCTCTCAGAGAAAATGTATTCACGGGCTCCGAGAATGGCAACGGGGGTCGTGTTAGCAGAGGGAACACCAGGGGTGTAGGGAGAAACGTTGTCAGTGGTCAGCTCCTCGAATTCAGCCAGGACACTGCGGATCTTCAAGCACTCCTCCAGGTAGTTGTCCTGGTTAGCGTCAATGACCTGAATGTATTCACCGCGGTAGAAGATGATAGAGTGGTTCTGATTGTCTGACTTTCCGTCACCAAGAATAGGGTTACCAGAAAGTTGGATTCTGAACTTGGGCTTGCGCATTCCATTGTCGAGAAGCTCGCAGTGTCCGTCAATCAGAGCAGAGTACAGGCGGGGCTCCTCGCCCTCTTCGGTCGGAGGCTCCTCATCAAGGTAAGCGATCTGGAGGTCAGGGTAGGCACGGAGAAGGAACTCGGTGTTTTCGCGCTCTTCCTTGTTGAACTTCGCATAACGTTGCATGGAAACACAGATCTTGAACTTGCGACGGGCCATCCGCTCAAGCTCACGCTCAAGCTTCTCGGAGTTGCCACCGAACATCTGAACCACTTCGGGGTTCTCAACACGGTACAGGAGCTTGATAGCCCGGCTGAAGTTCATGAAACCGGAGATTGTTCTGTACAGCGTCTGTGAACGCAGGGAAGACCAGATACGCGTGCGGAGAGTGTACTCGGGAGCGGCGGACTTGAAACCGATACAGTAGAAGGGCAAGTCATCGATCTTGCTCTTCTGAGCATCCTTTTCACTCTTCTCCTGATCACCGTTGAACTGCGAAGTCTCGTCGGCCAAGATCTTGGTATCCTTGACAAAGCAATCCCACTCATGAGGGTGAAGTTGCTTGAGGTATTCCAGCAGTGTGACACGGGAGTAAGGCTCATCTTCACGAATAATCTCACGAAGGGACAGCAGGATCTTTTCACCATAGTGAGGAATGAGGACGGTGAAAGTGGGCATGTTGTCAACCGGGAGAGGCTCGGGCATAGGGGTGGACAGAGACTGGGCGAAGAAGGAAATACGACGCTCGGCCTCGCTACCAGCGGGGAAGAATTCGGTCTTGAAAGACTGATCTTCCTGGGAGACGAAGAAAGTAGGAGCGCGGAGAGTCCGCTTGCCCTCGACCTCGGAAGGAACCTGGTGGTAGAGCAACTTCTGGACATGGTCGATGGCCAACAGGTGCTCTCGGTACATGGAAATAATGATGGCGTTCCACACCTGTGAGATGAGAACCTTGGGCTTGTACTTGATTTCCATGTCGGTCGTGGCCAGCACCTTGGAATAGATACGCTTGGGGAGGCGGGAGAACACGTTTCTCCAGGGCGACCAGATCGAGACACCCAGGTAGAACGACCTGGCGACGGAGAAGATCGTGTTACAGATAACGTACCACAGGTAACTGTCCAGGAAGAAGAGCGTCAAATCCATACAGAACATCAGACCCAGGAGAATCTGGGGCTGACGGTGGCAGAGAACATTAGGGATGTAAGTGACACCAGCACACTGGTGAATGCGCATGGGAGACAATATACGGATAGGATCCTTCAGTGACAAGGTCAGGAAGAAGTAGGACTCAACCAGCTTGGCACCGAAAACACAGATCCAGAGACCGTACGACATCCACATGTCATTGCCGCTGAGGCGAGGAAAGCTGGCAGTGAACGTCTGACTCGCAACATATTGGCGTCCGTGTTTCTTCAAGTAACTGCCAAAGAGACCGCCAAGAGGCATGACAGAGAAGAAGAAGAAAGTTGCCAAAGCGATGAAGAAGTGGACAATACCAATGACGAGGGCAATTGTCTCACCAATGGTCTTCTTGAATCCGAAGACAACGACACCAGGAGCCAGGTTAACGATGAAAACAGCCAAGAGGAAAAACAACCGCTTAGTGAGATGCTGCGCGCCAGCCCATCGGCGAGGGACATACAGCCATTCACAAATAGTAGCCATGATCTGAATGAAGGAAACCAGAGCACCTCCGAAACCAACAGCAGACCAGTAATAAGAGCCTGGCGGTTTGTTGTTCAGCTGTTGTTGGTAGTTGCTGGTGTAAAGCGTCGGGGCGTTATAAGCACTGAAGAACCAGAAAGCACCAAGATG